AATGCTATGTTAAGAACACACAAATAGTGCCTTAGAAGGTACACTATGTCTGGAGGAGAGGGAGAAGGAGGAAGCCTGAAAAGGCAATGCTAAAACTGAGTCTTTAGGATGGATAGGAAAGATTTACCAAACAATGAGAGAGGGCAGAACTTTTCAGGCATGTAGTAAATGCCCAGATACATTGGTAAAGATCCAGGGGCAGAACCTCATGAAAAAAAAATCAAGGAATTCAGGTAGTCAAAGGAGGGTCATAAACTATAAGCCATTGGTGTGCCATGGATGGAGCTACTGTTTTTGTGGGTTCAGGAGAAGGTTCCAAGAGGAGGTGACATTTGTTCTGGTCTTAAAGACAGAGTAAGCTTCACAAATGGAAGAGGGAAATTAAGTCATTTTAGTAGAGAAAGCTGTGCAGAAAAGCAAATAAGCATCAGAGTGCGTGACCACCTTCTCTTTCCTGTTTACATCCTCATCCTAGAGATCTCATCCAGTCCTCTGGCGTCAAATACTGTTTATGTGGCTATCTCCTTTATTTGGGTCTCCAACAATGAGTTCTTCCCTAAGCCACCCATTTGTGACTTCAGATGTTTGTCTGGCCCCTCCACTTAGAAGTCTTCTGGGCCTGTCAAGTGTTATGTGTTCAAAACTGAGCTCCCAATTGTCTTCCTTTTCCAAGCCTGTTATTCTCCCAATCTTCTATCTCAGTTAATAGTATCACCATTCAACCAGCTGTTCAAGCAAATACCTAGGAATCATCCTTGATTACTCTTTCCTCCAATCTTCACATGGAATCCCTCAATAAGCCCTCTGATTCTACTCAAAAACACATCTCAGTTCTGAACATTTGACTCCATCTCCTGAGTGTAAGGGACCACCTTTGCCTTTTCCTTTTGTCTGGTTTCCCTGTTTCTCCTTAGCTTCTCTACTACCTATGCTCCACTTCATAGACAGAGCTCTCTTTTTAAAATGTAAGTCAGACCATGCTACTATTTGCTTTAGTCACTTCAATGGCTTTTCCTTGTTTCGAGAGCTACATCCTGGCCTAATCATCTAACCCCCAGGCAGCTAGCTCTCCAATCTCTCTTCTAGTCTTAACTTATACCACCTGCTCCAGCTCCCTGGCCTCTTCCCAGTTCCCAAAATATGTGAGGTCTTCCCCATCCAATGCTGTTGCACCCTCTTTCCAAAGTACTCCCCTCCATATTTTCCCATGGCTGTTTCACTCTTATCTACCAGGTTTTCTTTTTTTTTTTTTTTTAATTTTTTATTGGATTATAGGTTTTGGGGTACATGAGCAGAGCATGCAAGACAGTTGCGTAGGTACACACATGGCAGTGTGCTTTCTTTTCTTCTCCCCTTCACCCACATTTGGCATTTCTCCCCAGGCTATCCCTCCCCACCTCCCCCTCCCACTGGCCCTCCCCTTTTCCCCCCAATAGACCCCAGTGTTTAGTACTCCCCTTTCTGTGTCCATGTGTTCTCATTTTTCATCACCCACCTATCTACCAGGTTTTCAACCAAATCGCATTTCATCCAAATGTCCTATTTAAGACATTTAAAATATACCTTCTACTAATTCTACTCAAATTTTTCTAAATTATCATCCTACTTATCCCCTTCTTAGAAGTTAATACAACATGTGATATCCAATTCATTCATTCATTTACTGGCTTTCTCCCTTTCTAGAAAGTCTCAGTTCCACAAGGCAGAGTCTTTATTTCTTTTCAGGCACCAGTATTATGTGCTCAATAAATACTTGTTAAACAAATGAATGTCAAAGCCGCAAAGTCAATAACAGTTTAATACTATAGGTAAGGGTTAATGGAATAAAATTCACAGAGACATCAAGTAAAATTGTAATTGAAAAGGATATTTAATCTTATCCTCCGGAAGTCACTGGTGAGAGCAGTGACTTTGGAATGGAACACAGAGGTAGGAATACCACGGGTGAGGAGTGAAATAGAAGATGTACACATGAAAGAAAGCAAGTATTCTAAGATGCTTGGCCAAAGAAGACAATGAAAGGTGTGATGCTATAATCTTGGGGTGCTAAAGAATTTCTAAATTATTGTAATGGGATAAAATTATGTTTAATTCCATGTGAGAACGATGCAGCAAAGAGCAAGAAGCCGAAGGTACAGGGCAGAGAGGGGACAGATGAGGAGGGAGGCTATGAATAAGGTGGAATTGGGAATGGGATCTGCAGCCCTGGTGAAGCATTAGTCTTGAACAGAAGGAAGAATACCTCTTCTTCTGTCAGGCTGAACATTAAGAAAGGTATCTTGTAGAGCTTCTATTTGCTCTGATGAAAGTGAGGAAATAGCAGCAGGCAAGGAGCTGAACATAGTGAACAGGTTTTAGAATATCACTATGAGAAATTGAGAGGCATTGTCCCGGAATTCACAAATCAGTGGTTATTGTCATTAAAGATTCAATTGAAACCATACATTTAGTACTAGTTCTCACATTTGTGTCATCAATCAAATGGTTATTAAGTAAATGCTATGTTTTAGACATATTAATTGAATATATCGCAATTCCTGCAGCCTAGTGGGAGAGAAGAAAAGTATATTAATTAGGAAAGCCTTGTGATGAGACCTGCATTAGGGAAACCGCATTGTATAATCAGAGCCCAGAGGATGATGGGAAGTGGGGAGGGTTGGTTCTGGTCACAGAGTCTATTGTTATAATTCAAGATTGCTGAGTTGGGACTGTTTTCAATGATAATAGAATCCTGGAGAAAGAAGAAGTTCCATAGAATGGAGGAAGTCATGGAATGATGAGAATAACAGGTTGGAAGGGCATTCAGACAGATGCTGAAGTTGCCTAGGAAGGTTGGAGGGCATTCAGACAGGCTAAAGTTGCCTGCGTTTGAGAAGGCTGTGACTCGAGTGTCTGAATTCTTGATGAGAATTTGGGAATGACTTGGAAATTTACACATGCCAATGACAAAGACAGGTAGAAGGTGCTATATCCAGGTAGTGTAAACACCAAAGGGAGAAGGAATAGTATATATCATAATGGTCTGAAACTTGCAGTTAACAATAAGGAAAATGCCCAAGCTATTTCTCAGCCCCATGGCACATGGGGTATCAGAATATGAGTATCCTTCACTCAAGAGAATTTCAATGAAAACAAGGAAATGGTTTTCTGAATGACCCAATAGAAAACACTGAAAAGGATGAGAGACAGAGAGAGAGAGAGAGAGAGAGAGAGAGAGAGAGAGAGAAACATTTATACTTTAGCAATGCCTGAAGATACCAGAGAGTCAAAGATGGAAATAATTGGTCTTGAGATTGAAAACAGCTCCAGGAATAACATACATACATTTGGAGCCTGCATAGGACAGTGTATCAAGTGGTGTCAGAAATATGAGGATGCCAGCAACCTGGGGTTGTTCTGCTTGTGGTCAAGGGATTGTCTACAAAAGAGCCAGTGACTTCCTCTAAGGCCAATCCTGGGAGTAAGGAAATATTACTGGTCTGTTTTAACCCAGAGAAAAATACTCTGATTCAATATTTGTTCTTTTAAAAAATTTTTTGTTTTGAAGTAGCTTAATTTTTTTCTGATTATAAAAGAAATATGTATTCATTGCAAAAATAAGGTAATGCAAAAAAGAATAAAATAAAGATTGCTTATAATTCCCAGATGGAGATGATATAATCATTTCTAACATTTCCACGTCTGTCATTAGTAGAATTTCCTGGCATTTATCAGTTAGACATTTAAAATATACTTTCTACTAATTCTACACAGTTAGAACTCCAGAACACTCCTTATCAATCAATATTTCCTCTCTCTCCTGCACACCCTCTCTCTCACTCTCCGTCATTGTTGGGGCTGCTGCCTTTCTAGCTTTATCTCTGTTCTCTCTAAATCCAGAGCTCCGTCATCTCTGGAGTGGATATTACTGTACATTGGGCTTATTTAGTTATTCATTAAACATTGAACAGATGTTGCTGTTGTGGCTGCAGAGTCGTTATGTCTTTGGCTATGGTGCTTGGGATGCTTCTTTTGGTTCTCCCAGAAATCAGAGACCATGTTGCTAGGGCAAGTCAGGAAACCACTTAGATTTTCCTACTCACTTCTCTCTCCAAATAGGAAATGCCACCTCGGGGGTAAGGCTAGCCCAGCCTCTACAGCAGACCCCTGCTGCCAGTCGTCACTCATCGTTTACCATTGAGATACTCACCTGTAAGAGCCAGTCTCTTGATCCAGACCCAACATGGCAGGCCAGAGTGGTATGGGCCTCTGTCAAATAAACATTAATTATCCCATCACATTGGGAAATCCTGAATAAGGGTTTCAGCTCCCTGAAAACAGCTTGTATGTACTTCTGGTTTTCTCATTTTGCTTCCATTTCCAGAAAAGGGAAGTGAAACAGGCCTAATAATAACATTGCTTTCACCGTTGTGCACTTGATAAGCTTGACCTTTATTTTACCACATAAGTCAGAACTACTTTATACCACAACCCTGCTAATTTGCTCTTTACCTCCTTCCTCCCACCTATCTCCTGCCACTTCCCCAGAAGCATAAAGCTTTCAACATCCTGCTGTCCATTAGCATAAATAAACTAATGCTTTTAGAGTAAAAATAGTTTTAATGCTATATTTGTTAAAGACTGCATTACTACAAGAAGATAAAAATATTCTTGAGTAACAGGTAGATCATATACTTTAGAGACAATAACATACTTTTATTGTGGTTCTCTGGAAAGTCGATTATTTTAGCCATAGATTAAAACCTTAGGTCTCAGCACAAGTTATATTTCCATTCACTGCGGAAATTGTTAAACCTTGCAGTTTCTCAGGGCATATATCTTCGTGCTTTAATTTATTTTTCTGTTGCCAATATATTATAAGCATATCTATGAAACAAAAAAGATGAAGTGCCCTTTAAATTCAATTTTGCAATATGAACCAATGGATAATGTTATGGCTTTTCCCCTCATTTTTACATATCTGTTGTTAATTTAAATTTTATGTAACATTTATACAATAGATTAAAAAATACTGGGCTAAGAAACAACAGAAGTGGCAAGAAATGGAAATGAGAGATCTTCAGCGCCTAGAAGAACTGAAGAAATTAATGGCCGAACAGTCACTAAAAGACAGAGACAGGTAAAAGAAAATTTTAAATTGTGTGGTAATAGAGGTGGTGAATGGAGTCTTTTGTAATGTGATCGAATAAATAATATCAGAGGGAACATTTATCTATACTTAATGTATCCTGTCAATATTTATATTCACAAATGGATACAATGATATCTATAATGCATTTTAAATTCTCATATTCATACATGAACCTCTGGTTTTTCATTTTGTTCCTTAGATAGCTTCCTAGTTAAAACCCTCACAGAGGATTTGATAGTATTTGATTACCCACTATGTGCATAAAATGATAGTAGCTGCTGCTGTAACTGTCTTTTGACCCAGGAAGGGGAAAACATTATTCAAATAAGAGGAAAGACCCATTTACTGTGACAGAGAGTGGGGAGACAGTACACAAACACAGTATATACTAGCGCTATGCAACAGAAATACGTGACCATGTATGTAATTTTAAATATTCTACTATCCATGTTATAAAATTTAATAATAATATATTTTATTTAGCCTAATATACCCCCAAATATTATCATTTAAACACGAAATTAATACAAAAATTATCAATGAGATATTTTACATTCTTGTCTTCAACCTAGTCTTTGAAATTTGGAGGTGGTTTACAATTACATACCTCAATTATACAATGCTGTGTCGTGTTTGTTATAGCATACTTAGGGCATGTGCAATACATGAAAAAACTGGAAATTCCTAGTAATATGTAAGTTTAGAACTGGAAAGGACATTTGAGATCAAATAGCCCAGTCTCCTCATTTTACATATGAGTACAATAAGAGATTTAAGTTATTTTTTCCAAAGTTACTTTATCAGTTAGGGTCAATCAGGAGACAAAAAACAGGGAAATGAACAGGAAAAGTTTAATAGAAAGAATGAGAAACTCTAACAGGAAATCCTTCTTATATAAAGAAGTAAATAGCATGCTAAAAAATACCCTAGGGCTGAAGAAGGGTTCCCATGGAAGACACAAGTTTGGAATTGAGGAGCCCTCTCCATGGTTGGGATTCAGACCTTACTATAGAAGCTATGATTATGACCCTCTGAATGATGGAGAAGTTCTTGAGTGGGTCAAGCAGAGCTAGTTCAGTAGTCACTAGGCAAACAGGGAACACCCAACTTGGGTGTGGGCAGGACAACACTGGAAACCAACTATTGAAATGTTTGCAAGGCTCAGTGGAAATCTGAGTATGGAAGTACCTCTGAAATTTGATGAGACACTGATCATAGGTGTGCCATTGGAACTCCATGAACACAGCAAGACTTGTGTCCCCTACAAGTGCTGCTGGCTGCTGTACTGTAGGAACAAGAAGGCATAAACACACAAACCAGGAAGGAAATTCTCTTTCTCTGCAGTGTCCTCCAAGCACCCTTTCCTGACACCACTTAATATTTTGCCAGTTCCAAGGGATAGACAGAGGGTCCACCTCCATTTTCAGAGAGCAGACAATGAAGGGTGGACTTAGAGCTGTGAAACAATACATTGATAACTGACATAGTTGTCTAATTTAGCTAGCTCCTTAGTGATTTTCACAAGAGATAAAGAAGAAAGATACCTCATTTTGTAACATAAATTAGAGTAAATTTCCTTGAAATAGTGAGCTTCCTTGATAAATTTACCTAAGTTAGTCACTGAAAAAGAAGAATTCTGGAACTCTATGCTTAATTTCACTGTGAAACTAAAATTACTATAACAAATAAAGCCTATTTTTAAAATTGCCCCTCAGACTTACATGTAACTTTGGACAGCATGACCATTTGATACAATAAGGTTCAATTGTATCTAGGAAGCTTCCTTTGTGACTCACGTGACAGTTATCTCAAACTCTAATCACCAAGGTTGTAGATTAAATCTGGAGTTTCAAACAGATGCTAAGCATTAAGGATTTTCTGGATGAAACGCACATTATTTTCCAGGTACCTCAGGATTTTCAAGTTTAGTATAATCTATTATTGAGAGAACCACGAATATAGCAAAGCCAGAGCTCTGGTTAGAAGGTGAAGCCACCAATGAGAACCCATATTAACAAACCATACCAAGACCTAAGTGGACACAGGTCAGAAACAAGGAGGTGGATAAGAAGAATTCCCAAACACCTAAATACTAAAGAGCAAGGCAAAGGCAAGTTGATCAGTCTGAAGCTATCCCAGCAAAACAAAAGAGAGCTACAGAAATTAAAAGGAATGGAAAAAACAGAGCAGATATGTAGTTCCGGCATTTGAAAACAGGCTTCCACTAAAATTACGTCAGGGAGCGTCTTTGATTACAGTGTCATTTCAGTCTTTTGCTTCCTGTCCCAATAATTATCAAGATTAGCTGATTCAGAACTTCTGCTGAAAAAGAAGAAAAGGAAAATCAGATTAATCTACATTACATAACAGGAAAAAATAGGCGTATTATAAGATACTAAAAAGAGTACTAAAGACTAGGAGCCAGGAGACCAAGGTTTTAGTCTTGACTCTCCTTTGAATTGTACATGACCTTGGGAAAGTCTGTCATGTAACCTCCACAAGGCTCTGTTTTGTCCTCTGTAAAATTGAACTTGATAACTTCTAAGGACTGAGTTGATCAACTTTTAAAGGCCTATAATCTCTTTGTTCAATTCTTGTTAAAATGCTGTAGATTCAGATAATTATGAGTCAAATGCTTATTTGCCAATGGGAAATCAGTGAAAAGGGCTTTAAAATATCAGGATATACAAAAGAAATAATTCTCAAAAAATTTTTGATTATATTATAGAAGTATATTTCTCATTTTGTGACTTAGGGAGATTAGAGTTCAACATACAAAAATTGCAGGTAGTTTTTGCTTTTGATAGTAACTAGAAATTGTCTTCTTTCATAACTACCTAGCACTAAGAAATTTGGTTGATTGGTTAAAACATTTTTCTGTACTACTGAAATACAATTCATAAACCTTGTATTTGATATTTTAACTATGGACAGTTCTTTTCATATCAGAATAAGATGGCTTGAAGTAGTTTCCAGATGTGTGTTCAGAACACGCACATATATCTTTGAGGCTTTGAAAACTTGTCATTTACTTCCCTTTTCTATTTTTAAATTATAATATTATATTTCTTAAAAACAATATTAATAAACTGATATATTTCTTTGAACCACATAAAATTTCATTTTTGTAGGTCAGAATGGTTGAGCATTGGCAATTTCATGTGGTTCAACATGAAAAAATGATATACCTTCTCAATCAATTAAATTATGTCTGGCTCTATCCTTCATAGCCACCTGACCTTTGGATGAGTTATATAACTTCTCTGTACTTAAGTTTCCTCATCTGTACATTGAGGATATAAACAGTATCTAGTTCTTAAGATTGTTACAAGGATCAAATGATATTTTGAATGTAACACATTGACTGCCTGGAACACAGTATTCATTAAAAATAAACAATTGCTATCAATATACTTTTATAAAATGAAATACCAACATATTTTTTCTCAAAATATTAAAGCAAGAAGGCTACATTTCAAGCCAGGAAGAGAGCCCTCACCAGTACGTGACCATGCTAGCACCTTAATCTTGGGCTTCCAGCCTCCAGAATAGTGAGAAAGTAATCTTCTGTGTTCAAGTCACCCAGTCTATGGCATTTTGTCATGAAGGCCTAAGCTAACTAATACAATGGTATTATATTGTTAAATGTATTGTGCTTTTTGTTGTTGTTCTTAAACTTGATTTTATGTAGGTACATATATATAGGTAGATTTAAAATAAATATTTTTAAAATATGATAAATAAAACATGTAATAGTAAGGACATTTTTATAAATTTTTTTTAAAGTTAAAACAGACGTGTCCTTGACCACTACCCTCATGCAGTCTCTTCTCTAAGTCATTGCTTTCATCATTTTTAAACACATACATACATGCTATCTCTTTTATATGTACCTATTAAAATGAAGTTTAAGAACAGCAACAAAAAGCTCAATACATTTAACAATATAATACCACTGTACTAGTTAGTTTGGACCATCATGACAAAATACCATAGACTGGGTGACTTGAACAACAGAAATTTATTTTCTCACTGTTCTGGAGGCTAGACCCCCAAGATCAAGGTGCCTGCATGGTCAGGTTCCAGTGAGGGCTCTCTTCCTGGCTTGCAGAGTGGGGCCTTCTTGGTTTGTTTTCACATGGTGAAGAGAGAGAGAGTCAGCAAGGGCTTGGGTGTCTCTTCTTATGAGGGTGCAATTCCCACCATGAGGCCTCCACTACCAAAGACTCCATCTCCAAATACTGTCACATTGGGGGTTAGGCCCTCGATGTATGAATTTTGAGTAGACACATTCAGTCTATAGCAACCATTTGTGTAAAAAAACGCATTTATGTAGGTACAAATCAACTATTTACTACTAACTTCTCTTTGTAGGTTGCTGCTGGCATGTAAGTTCTTTGCACTAGTTAGAAAAAGATGCCTCCTTCTGGTGGCAGAGTGCATAGAGCTCCTACTTCAGGTGGACAAATTAGGAAAAGACTCCCTTCTGAACCATGGCATACAGCTTGACAAGCAGAGGCAAAGCTGGATGTCATGCTTCATTTTACCTCTGGTCATAGATCATTTTTGTAAAGCACAAACTTCAAAATGATACATGGCATCTCTGCAAATAAACCTACCTAATTCTTTAAAAATAGTGTATATTATTCATATTTCTTCTAAAATTTAGTTCTGTAGCCATCTGGAACTTATTTTAATGAATGATATGACCTAAATTGTTCTAAATTGATATCTGGCTATCTCAACACCAATTATTTAATGATTCATCTTTACCCACTGATTTAAAATGCCACCTTTGTTATATATTATGTTTCTAATTATATTTTATATCCATATGGACTCTTGATTAGACTAAATAAAAACAGGTCTATGTTTGTAGTTCTACTTTGACACCATGCTGTTTTAATTATTCTGTTTTGCTATCTAGTAGAACAAGCGTTCACTCATTGTTCTTTTCAAAAATATCTTAGCTATTCTTATGTCAAATT